CACACACACACACACACACACACACACACACACACACACACACACACGAGGGGTGGCTATGAGAGAAAGAGAGAGAAATAAGAAGCCGTTAACCCAAATCACACAGAAAACAGACTAGATAAAAGCAGTATCTTGACTCATGAAAAGATTGTTTAGATTGAAGGATGTTTTGTACATTAAAACATCAAATAAATAACTGGATACACTATTCTTATTAGTATTATTAAGACCAAGGATAAAAATACAACAGAATAATATAATAAACTCACCACTGTCACCCACCTTCAATTAAATGTTATCTTCATTTGCCGAAACTTAGTGAAGGATACAGAGATGGTTTTAGGTTTTTCTCAACCCAACTGACACATGAATTTTTAAATTTGTTCTAATTATCTTTTTTTTTAACTTTTTTTTATTTTTTATTAATTACACTTTATTTTGTATCCCCCCCATAAGCCCCTCCCTCCTCCCCTCCTCATCCCACCCTCCCTCCCGTTTCTGCATGCATGCCCCTCCCCAAGTCCACTAATAGGGGAGGTTCTCCTCTCCTTTCTGATCTTAGTCTATCAGTTCTCGTCAAAAGTGGCTATCAAAGCAGATGCTGAGCCTGATGGCCAACTGTTGGGCAGAGTGAATGGAATTTTATGTAAGAAGTGGGAAATAGTAAGAGCTGGAGAGGACAGGAACTCCACAAGGAGAGCAACAGAACAAGAAAATTTGAACACAGGGAACTTCCCAGAGACTCATACTCCAACCAAGGACTATTCATGGAGATAACCTAGAACCCCTGCACAGATGTAGCCCATGGCAGGTCAGTGTCCAAGTGGGTTACATAGTAATGGGAAGAGGGACTGCCTCTGACATAATCTGATTGGCCTGCTCTTTGATCACCTCCCCCTGAGGGGGGAGCAGCCCTACCAGGCCACAGAAGAGGACAATGTTCTAATTATCTTAAGCACACAACTTTCATAACTAAGCCTTATTATTTTTTGTATTGTCTGTTTCAAATGGCATACCTTTATAAAAATTTGCTGTTTATGGTAAAGAATTAGCATTAAATCCCATAAAACTTGATCTCTCTTTGCCATAGACAGTAGAAACATGTTTTCTAGTTGGGAAACAGATTCTATAACTAATTTTGCATCTGTTCTTTTCCTCTGAAATGATCTATGCTTTAGCAACATTGTAATATGTATAAACAGTTAAATATAAATATATAAATATAAATATATATATATATATATATATATATATATATATATATATATATAT